GGTAGGCAATTTGGGTCCCCTTTGGGTGAATCGCTGAACCTGTTGAAGCCTGTTGTGTGGACGTATCTGACGTGGATGTAAAACGCCAGTAGGTATTACGTGGATGTAAACACCGGAGGGTACTGTGGACGTATCTTGCGTGGATGTAAATGACAGCCGTACTTCTGAGGAGGTAAATGACACAGGATAGCGAAGACCGATTTTTGAATGCCTCACGCGAACCGAAAGTACGTCCTCACTGTGGACGTAGCAGACACATGCGTCAATTTACGTCCAAATCATTGGATGTAAATTTGTGGACGTGTTTTCACAAAGTGCAAATTCTGTGGACGGATTTACCGTGGACGTGTCGGTCCCGACTCCATTTCTGTCAATGGCCTTTATATTTTTTGTAACATTGAAACAGAAATATGTATATGCGTTCAAAACTTCGCTGCTTAAAAAATTAATTTGAAGACGATTTGAGTAGCTGTTAGACTATGGTAAGCCGTATATCGCTTATTTTCGATTCTTGGGTGGTAAAAGTGCTTGCTAGGTGCCATTTTCGATAAAACCGCTGAAACTTTTTTTGTACTCGTTTCTTTAACGTTTTCATAGCCGTACCTTGCCTGTTATTCTGACTTGCTACAACTGAGAGAACAATCACAAACCCCGGTAAGAACTAGGAATCAGCGGACTACGAACAGGAAACCCTGGTGTAATTTATACCTGTGGAGAGAGTGATAATGCTTCCATAGCAATCTCCTCTAAAATCAGTTGGACGAAATAAAGTCGCTGGCCAAATCTCCCCCACAATTTGTGGATGCAAATTTTTATCCACAATCAATTGTTTTTGAAAATGTAGAAGAAAGTTGACAGTTGGCGTGTGGAAGTAAAATCTCCGCCACAGCGCTTGAAGGGATTCTTTTCCGCAAGTGTGGATGTACATTACCTCCACACAAAAACACCTCCACAGTCTTGTGGGAAAAAATTGCCTTCCACGCAAAGTACGTCTACAGTTTGTCGAGGTTATTTGCTGACGGATGTATTTTTATAAGAAGTCATCCACAACACGCAGTGAAAACTCTTCCACACGGCTTTGAAAAGGCCTCCACTGCCCCGAGCTTGCGGCCACCGACAGGTGCTCGGCGGGTTGGCCTACCCACTGGCTTGCAGGCGCTTAGATGAAATTCCGTAAAACAATATCCTCCACAACACGCAGTGGAAAATCCTCCACAAGGGTTGGAAGCACTGCACCAATTTACAAAATTTTTGTAAACTCAAATTATAAGTTAAGTTGTAAATTTACGAGAGCAGTTTTTTTTTACACGCCAATGGATTTTAAGTCGATACGAACTGCATGTAATTTAACGATTTCAAATTGTTATTTTACAACTTGCGTCATGGAAAATTTTCCTGTAAACCTACCTACTATTTGGTAGCAACATGGTGGAAAGTTTGGAAAGTTTCGGAAAAATTTCAGGAAAATTTTAGGAAAAACTTGAAAGTTTTCTGGGAAAAATGGAAAATTTTACAGACCTTGGAAAGTTGTCCGCTATTTTCGGGAAATTTTCAGGAATTTAT